ATGCCAATGTGATACCGACATGAAAGTTGATGTGGATAGCGATTTGACTTCGGATATGTGTGTTAACTTAAATGATTTATGTTCTCCATTATTCTACAACTTATGATAGACATTAATGACTACAAAACATGCTAATATTCACGCAACTTTCTTTTTCTTACGTGACAATGCTTCATCCAACTCCAATAATTTCTCATCTCTGTTTCTCTCTCGAGACATCTGATCGTTGGAAGTCTTATGTTCCAATCAACGTGTGAGCGTAATGAAAAATTTTCTCTATTTTAATTTAAATCTGTAATAATCTTCAAACAATAAATGAATATTTTTTTGCATCTTCACGGAGAGGAGAGGGGGGAATACATTGATTGGCCTCAGTGCGGAGAGAGGGGAAAGCCAATTCCATGGCGTGTGGTAGGGAAAGTAACAAACAGAATGCTGCCGATGACTCCGATCCCCACCGGCAAGCACGTCAGAACCTGCTTCGTCTCTTCCGACGGCATCGGGAAGAAGCAGGACACCACGTTCTGGTCGAACAGCGCCACCGCCGCAAACACCAGAACGGACACCAACGCGTGGGCCAAGTCGATGAACTTGATCCTGTATCTCGCCGCGATCGCCGGAGGGAGCGGCTTGGTGCCGTCGATAACCCACAGTCCCCGGAATGTGGCCAGCCCATACCGCACCGTGCCGTTGCCGTCACGGAAGCTGTCGGTGAAACTGAGGACGAAGCAGGAGAGGCCGCAGATGGCCACGAGGCACTCGGTCATCAGCCGGTTCACCGCCATGCAGTGGCCTCCGTCGGTGAAGATGGGGGAGAGGAGCTGGAAGGCGAGCACGGTGCCGGTGGGGAGCAGCTTGGCGAGGTGGGCGGTGCTCTTAAAGGTCTGGCTGATGGCTTTCTGCACGAGGGTCGCTTGGTCATCGCCGGCCGAATCCGGAGCCAAGAGAGGCTGCTTCTGCTGCTGCTGAGCTTCTACGTCGGTCATCTTCGGCGCCATCGTCGACTACGAACAGGAAGTGGATGAGCGGGCGATTATAATGGGACGAAATGGAAGATACGTACGTCAGAGTACAAGGGAAGGAAGGAAGGAAGGCAAGGGTTTCGGGGTTGGCTTGCAAGCAAGAAGAACAAGAGGAAGAACCGAAGGTGGGATTAAAGGGAAGGCGACAGTTTCCGAGAGTTGCGGAGGGGTTTATGTTACGTGAGGGAGTTGACATGTTGTCATCACGGGAGATCGAGATGGAATTTATCTTCGTTCTTGGGGAGTTCATCGCTTGATCTGGTTCGGCTTCCGAGTAGCAGATGCTTCCGGGGCTCAAACACTCCCCAAGAAGTGTTCGCCGAACCGCACGCCGAGGCGTTGGTTGGCGGAGGTGGCGGTTCAAGAATTCGCCAATGGAAGCAAAATAGAACGTGCAGAACAGTTACAATAGATACTATTATTTTTATTATTAAGTTAGATTCTGTTTGTCCGAGAAGTACACGTAAGCATAAAAACGGTAATATATTATATAAAAAATTTATGTTAAGATTAAAATTAAATAACATAATTTATAAGGAGAACTAGACTTTATTTTCATCTGATTTAGGGAGATTGAAAAATAGAGGATCTAGGATAAATTATTAGGAGAGTTCCTTCCAATATAGTCTTTTTTTATATTGATCAATATTTATCGTCAAAATCCAATTAGTTACATTATATATCTTATCCAATTATAAAAGTCATATAATCTAATATTCTCATACTTTACTCATTAATTGATAAGATATAAAAGATATATAAAATCAAAATAAATAAAAAATTATTTAAAAATAATTTTATCTAATTAAATTTAAAAAAAATTAAAAATATTTTATACATGGTCATAAATTTTAAAAATAAAATAATAAATCTAATAAGCACAATAATACTATAGTAAATCTAATTATCAATGTGAGTCATAACGATTATATATCATTAATGTTATACTCTATTCTATATACCACAATATTACTAGTCTTTCCTAATATAGTTTATAATGACCCATATAATTTGTCATGTCAAGATAGTCCTATTATTACATTCAACTATAATATACATAAATATAAATGTAAATAGGATAGTAAAAATAAATAACTTTAACTAAGCAAGAAAAATATTAATATATACCTAAATAAGCATCACCATATCTTTTATAGTTTGCTCACATATCTCATTCTAACAACATATTCTTTAAATACTTTATATTATAAAACTTTAGTAAATGGATAAGCAATCATCATAGTAGTGCTTAGGTTCTCAATTGACACTTGTTGTTTTTGAACTCTTTTTCTAACCACCAAGTATTTTATCTCGATGTGCTTAAAACCACTAGAGTACTTGTCATTCTTAGAGAAGAAAACTACTGTGGTATTATCACAAAATATCTTCAGCAGCCTGACAATTAAGTCCACCACACCAAGTCATGAGATGAAATTTCGTAATCAAAAATCTTGATTTGTAGTCTGAAAGCATATCACAAATTCAACTTCCATTATTAATGATACAATAAGTGATTACTTTGTACTTTTTTAAGAAATTGCCCCACCAGCTAATATGAATACAAATCCTAAAGTAGACTTCTTACTATCGAGGTAATTTACAAAATCAGTGTTTGAATATCCTATTACTTTAAGCTGATTTGATCTCCTATATGTGAGTATATAATCTTTTGTCCTCTATAGTTATCTCATTATTTTCTTTGCAATTTTTCAATGTTCCATACTTGGAATACTCATCGATCTACATAGTGATCGTCGTTGCTTCGCAATCATCAAAGATCGTGTTACAAAGAATCTAACATCGCCCGCAAGCAAGCGACAAGATAGGGTAGATAGGAATTTAGATCGACAAAATATATGGATCATTGAAGTATCATAAACAAAAATAACAAATATAACGTATTTGATCTTAAGAACATAGGCTCTAATACCAATTGTAAGCATAAAATTTGTGATATGCTTTATGTAATATGAATAAACTTTTATGCTAGGATTAAAATCAAATAATATTATATCGGTTTTAACGATACATACCTTTTGATACCATATGAAAAAGATTTCTATCTGATTTGGGCACCATCTTTAGACACAAAACTACTACCAATCCGCAAGAAGAATTAGACTCTTCTCTTTTTCTATCTTTTCATAGGACCACTTAAATTGATGATTTAGGGAGGTTAAGAGAGAAACTGTAATATCTCAACTGTGTCCTCTATGACATGCATCATTTAGTCCCTAGAGGTCATGTCTATTTATAGGCGAGAGCAAAGGTTTTAGGATAAATTATTATGAGAGTTCCTCCCATCAAATGCATCTCCTAAGGAATCTTACTATAATATAAACTTTTTTCTATTGGTCAATATCTGTCATCAAAATTAAATTAGTTCTATTATATATCTTATCCAATTATAAAGAACCATATAATCTAACAGTCCACTCTTAAGTTCATCTTAGATTGAGACATAGAGTAGGGTTCATATGATGCTCCTACAAAAACTATGTTGGGTCAGGAGTAGCGTACATGATAAAGGTTCTCCTGATACCTAAGTTAGTGGAGGATTCATTAAAATAATATAAAGATCGGATTGTTATTTTTTAAAAACACACTTGAGACGTTTTATAGTGTGTTAGAGCGATCGTTAGATAGATTAATGATAAACACAAGGATGATTACGCAAGTCATCTTAGAATCAATGAGCCATAACATCGTACATCGAATTGCCGACCTCAATGGATTGGGACCCGGCTGATGTGAATGATGTGTCCTCGGCTTATGGTATCAACCATTAAGATTAATTTTTAGCATATTTATCAATTTTAGTTTCTCATTTTCAATTCAGGAAATGTGATGTGTTGCACTCTTGATCGGAAAGACCTCATACATGTGGTTCGATCGATTTAGAGTCATTATGCTTGCAAGAACAAGTTGGGGATGCTGGCATTGAGGTTGGTCGAGGGCCAACCCTAGATCATTTATGAGCATAGATAGGGATGAGGTCCAACCCTGTTTCCTATATCTGAATCTGTTCTCTGAATTCATCATTCATTCATTTATGTCTATTTGTTTTGGACGCATGAATTCATTCGGTTCACTATTATGATTTGATTTCAGTCAATTAATTTCTTTTTTCTTTTTATCATCACCTAACTCAATATTTTATCCACCTAACTATCATATCATATGAATATTTCTTAAAAGAAAAAAAATCATACATTCGATTTTCAAATGCATAATATTTGAGGAATAAAACATTCAATTTTCAAGCAGGACGATATTTAAAAAACTAGATATTTTTTTTTTACGCTAACAAAAATCATACTAACTATTAACCACTCTAATATCATTTTAATTTACATGCAAGAGTTGTGTTGGTGTAAACAACTTTAAGCCGTGGCCTCGGGGTCGACGCGGCTTGGTTCGAGTCCGAATAATGAGGGATCTTCCTGGGATGACCCTTGAGACTATAGAAGATCGACTGCGGTGGTCCGATCGCGAAGGGGTCATCGTTTCTTATGAGAGGGGCTCCTCATCCGGGCGTTTAGTGGGAGGCCTCTGTCTTCGCACCTGCATACGGGTCGGGTCGGGAGAGCTCGGCCCGACCCCTCCGACGATCAAGTTAGTGAATAGTCGCAGGGGATTTTTTGGTTGTCCTCGTTCGTCCATTTCCTCGGAGCGCGAGGGTTTTTATAGTGAAGGTTACCATTGCCCATTGCTTGATGTGCCCGCTTGTAGGGAGCAGGATCGTACTCCTTGTAACGTCTGACATCGATGTTGGCGTGACGTAAAGGATCGAGCCTGTGTTGACCAGGTGCTGTCAGGTTAACAGAGACGCGAGGCATCATCTGGGACAGCTGACATCAACCCGAGTCTTATTGTCATTATTACCCTCATCAAATTGAACCCTATTTTCATTTATATCACCTCCCAAAAGATGTGAGAGGAGGTCAATGCAACAAACTGCACGTATTTATGCTCCAATAAGTAGACAACCACTCCGATCATCATCATCATCATCATGTCATGCATCCAAATCACCGAAGAATAATCTTAATTATTATCATGAAGATATGATTTATAACAAAAAGAAGATATGGCTTAACCACACCAAAAATCGACAGGTGTCAGCCATTATACCTTAGAATTAGCTTCCTGCGATCTATCTGGTGTTGCTGTTCTACACGCAAACCAATAGTCGATTATTGGAGTCGGAATCTATCCGTAAGTGTGGCATCACTCATTCCTTACAAGTGTGATTACTTCCGCTCACGCACCGTACAGAAGCTTTTTAGGGCCTACAGATTAAAAGTCATAATAATGAACTCGCACTATGAGCATCCAAATTCTAATCTTATCCAAAAATAATCCAACTTTACTGAAAGAACAGCACCATGAAAGGTCAGGAATTCACCCATCTCGGATCTTTGTCATTCATCTTCTTCTCTGATCCATGAGATCATGAATTATTCATGTGAAACCTCTGTTGGATCTGAGTAGATTTGATCACATGAACTATAATATTCCATGAAATCTAGTAAGCCAAGATTTGGAAAAGATCAACGTACCGAATCTTACTTCATGGAAATAAAACGTGCGTGACATCATAATATTACCGTGACGTCGTAAATGGAACAGAGGTAGGTGGAAGGAGATGCACTCGAAGGTGCTGCCTCCACTGGGGAAGGGGACACAAAGCACAAATCCAACAAGGCAGACAGGGAAAGAGTTCACCGGCGGTGTGGGGGTCGGGTTGCAGCCCCGCTTGGGTGGGTCGTGGGCCACCCGCCTCCTCTCATCGTCACAACACCCTGCCTGCCACTCCCCCGCACCCACCACAACTGGCCCATCCAATCCCAGTGCCCCTGTTCCGCTCCCCAGGACACCCAAATCAGCTTTATCCCTTTGCTTTCTTGGTGATCCGCACCATCTATCTTTGTTCTAGTTGAAGGAGAGGAAGAGGAGGAAGTTGAAGCAAAAAGAGCAGTTGGGTGGCTGCTGTAAGCCTCAGAGGATTAAAGCCAAGGGCAGGGGAGGTGGGAAGGCAGAGGTGAGTGGCCCTCTCAGGCTGGAACACCAGCGGCGGCTGAGCCATATGTGTCCAGGCCTAGAGATGCAGGGTCGAGGATGGAAATGCACGCACCACAATCATGTGCATCATTCATCCCACAAAAGAAGAATCTTAGAAGAAAAAGGCTTGTGGGGGTCGGGAGGGAGTGGGTGGTGTTCCGGTTTACCCGGGGGTCCTTTGGGGGCTGTTCTAGGATGCTAAGGTTGGCCTATAAAGGTAACACAGATTTGGACTGTTTTGGACCAGTGGAGGGGAATGGCTTCTTCTTCGCCTTCCTCTCGTGTTCACAGGTTTACAGTGACACCGTTGTAT